CCAGCTTTAACCACTGCAGCCCTTGGGACACAACACAAACAGCATTTTGGTCCACATCTATTTCCTTCCTGGAAGGTTTGTGCAGCACTTTCTAAAGCCACATATTGGAGCTGGCAGAACACACTTCCTTAAACTGCTGTTTAAAGGCAAGGGGCTGTGTCTGCCTCCTCCTGAGCACAGGATGCTCAAGAAACAAACCAACCTGTTTTAATAACTCACTTGCAGGACTTCAGTCTCCACTCACTGAAACTACCCTGCAGCTGAATCTGCCCCCAGCAGTGTTACCTGTCAACAGGCACGTGGAGGTGTTGTGGTGAAGAACAGCCTGTGCCCCTCTTGCTCTCAGATTTAATCCAGAAAGGAGCTGGCAAGGCCATCAGACACTACATAAAGACAAGAACAGGCAGGGTTATACCTTCATCCTTTGCCACATTCAGACAGTACCAGTAGGTAAATGTACAGCTTTTAACACAGGCAGAACAACGTGGATTAAAACCCCACCCCAGGTCACACCACATCTGCCAGTGAGGTGTGGGGGGAAAACCCACTGGATTCTTGAGCTGGGAAAATTGCAGAACAAACAACACTTTTAATATAAGATGAGTTTTGTTTACAAATCCTTTTCCAGTGGTTTTGAGATTTTTGTTTCAGCTGCAGTGGAATTTTTTAAAAGAATAATCCTGTGATGATACCACCATTTCCTGGTCATAAATGCAGGAGAGGAAGAAAAGCAAGTCTGGGGAAAAGTGAGCCTTAAAGCAGTTCTGTGTCCACCATCCACTTCTGCTGAGGGTTTCGGTTTGGTTTGGTTTCTGAAGAGGTCAGGAAACAAATGCTAAAGGAGAAAGTTCCACGCGAAACAATTACTGTGCTCAACTCCTAGGAAACTCCAAGTCAAGGTTCCCACAGTGCTGTTAGTTTTGCCCTCTCATGGGGAGGTGGGAGAGCTCCTTCAGAAGTCACACAGCAGCATCCAGCAGTAGGAAAAAAAGCTGCTTAAGGGATGAATTAGCAGGCTCAGCATCTCTGCAGCAAAAGCTTTCTGTGTTCAGTCACCACTTCATTCATTTCCCTTTCAAATTCACCATCCCATAGCATGAGGTTGGCTACAGTCCCTTACAGAATCAAACACATCACACTCCCCACCCTTCCAGACCTGCTTTGTGAGTATAGAAAGGATCTCAGTGCAGATTTCAATAATGCTGTTTTCTGCCTACAGATTCCAGTGCATGTAAGTGAAAAAAACCACACATATATTCACTTGTCTAAGAGCTATTTATAACATGCAAAGCTTCAGAACTGAAATGCCCCCATGGAAATGCACTGGTTAAGGAGTGACTGAGGGCTGGCTACCTCTCAAATCCTTAGGGAAAGTCAGTTTTTCGTGATCCGACTCTGATCAGGTTATTTTAATTCATCACTGCTGTCACCATCGCAGTGAACATGGAAGAGGAGACAAAAAATAGAGGCAGCCATCTGGAAACACACCCTGTGCTCAGGGAAGTTGCAGATCACAGATGAGCAGGGAGCAGAGCTGGGCTTCTGGCTGTGGGAGCAGCAGGGAAGAGCACAGCCACATCCGAGGCACAGGCTCAGCCCACAGCCCCAGGGCCATCTGCTCCGCCAGCGACTGTCACCTGCCACTCGGCCAAGAGGAGCAGAACCACATGGTGTTTGCTGGGGCAATGTGCACAAGGGGGTCCCCAAAAATGCATACTCACCGCTGTGTTAAGTGGGGGAAAAAAAAACGTTTTTCTGGAGATATCCCTACCAGGGTGAGTTTCCTGTCCCATCCTGATTTGTCAGTCCATCCAGCAGAAGTCACACAACTGGCCTGGGGCCAGCACGAGCCACTACCAAGGCCAAGAACAGCCTCTCCCCCCAAACTAGTGGCTAATCGAGCCTCTCACCTCCTCAGAGAAATGTGTTGGGGCAGATGAGCAGCTGTTCAGCTTCCAACAGATGTCACAGCACACTGAAGCCACAGGGAATCCTGAGTTTTACTCCAATGACAGACAAAATGCTCGCTCGTCCCAGAATCCTGATGTCCTGCTGGATGCTGAAGGCAAGACCTGAGACTGAAATCTGACTGACTTCCCTCCTGGGAGCTGTGTAGAGTTGATGTTCCCCCTGATCAAAGCAGTTCAATCCCTTGTCCAGGTAGGGAAATTACTTCCAAGAGCTACTGAGCCTACCCTGAAGCACCTCAGACTGCAAGAAGTGACTGCCCTTCAGGTGAGCCAGCACCAAACCTCTGCTCCTGACAAAGCTCAGAGAGACATCAACCAAAATTCACTGCTGCAAAGCAAGGTTCTGGGGCAGAGTTTGGGAAGTGCCTCAGAGCTCACAACCACAACACAGTCCCCTGCTTCTTCCTAAACACACTGTGCAACATCAGACTTCCATGGGAAAGCTAAGGAAGCAGTGGGAAGCTGAGGTGGAAGGAGGCCCCTTGGTACAGGGCAGGGTGGCTGCAGCAGTGACCATACCACCCCAGCTCCAATCCAAAGGCCTCCAGCAGTCAGGAATACCTTTTCCCACACTGCCAAGAGCGAGCTCCCTATTCCAGAGGATAAAGTTTCCCAAGCAAGGCTATTACACCTTGCTGACAGATTCACTTTTCCAGCAGTCACACAGCAGATCACACAGTCCCAACACCTCCATACTCTCAGTGCACCACACTGGGACTCCCTTGCTCCCATCCCAACAATCCACACCAAAGTATCCTTCTGAATGGTAGCAGAGTTTATTTAATATTTTGTACAGCCAGCATTGGTCTCCAGGAATAAGTTATAATCTTACACAAGTGAGTCAGTCCAAACCCACCCTTAAGGAATGTTCAGCTTTCAGCACTTCTGATTCAGAGGGAGTTTATTTAGAGGGTGAGACGCAGTCTGAAGAATGGAAATCAATCTGAATTTGGGACAAAAACTCCTGGGAAGTTCTCAGGGTTTCCTTGCCTCTAACTGGAGCACGGACGAGCGCGGCGGCTGCGTCTCCCAGGCCTGCACTGAGGGTTACATTCATCCCAGGGACAAGCTCCTTTCCAAAACTGGGCAGGGTTTTGTTTCCTCGATCCCCAGCTCCATGCCCCACGGCTCTGCAGACTCTGCAGTCCAGTACAATCAATGCTTGCAACAGATCTGTCCCAGAGGTACTGGGGTGCCCTTCCCACATCCTTTATCTGGCTGTTCTCAGCACCACCTACAGCACCTCTGTGGCTGTCTGAGGCAGCAGGCAGGACACAGCTCCAACTGCCTCTCAGCAATGAACACACAAAACAAATAAATACTTTTAAATGGTAATGACTTACACAGTTCCAGTGCAGAACCTGGTTATCTACCAGGCAAAAAGCACTCCAAGGGCAAAGCCTCACTCACCTGCTTGCACTGCTCTCCTTGAGGAATGGGGGGGGGGGAAATGAGCAACGGCCCAAGAGGAATTCCTCCCTCTTCCATGCTCAGGGAATTGCCAGTGTCTGATATTAAGCAATTCATATTTTCTAGCACAAAACAAAGCAAAAAGGGGCTGTAGGAATATTTCCTCCTCCCTCTCCAAACAGCAGCTCTTCAACAGCTCAGGCAGCTCTGAGGAACAACAACCAGCAGGACACCAGAGCCAGGAGCTGGCCGAGGGCTCACAGCTTTCCTGCCCTGTTGGAGAGCGCTTCTGGGGCTCCCACAGCCCTTCCAGCCTCACAGGGAGGTGGTGTCACCACAGAGTCCCTCCTCACTGCACCTGACAGCTCCCCAGGCAGCAACACACCTGGGGGGCTGTACCTGCCTTTTGGGACACCAGTGCAAGTGAAAAGCCCACTGAACATACCCCAGAATGTCCATCAGAGGGTTGGGGAGAGTGCTACTCATCCTGGGCAGGGGAGTATTTGGGTACTGGGGGATTTATTTAGTTAAAGAAAAGGTCAGCCAAGCCTTACAAAGCCATTTGAGCCAAACCCAAGGTCTGGATGCAGACACTGAATGCTCCTTCCTCACTATTTTGCGACACCTCACAGCAGCACTCAGAGAATGTAAGAATGCTTAAAAAAGTTGGTGGGTTTGCTGTGGAAAGGAAGAGAAGCTCAGCACTGTGCTGAGCCCTTCCTTCTCAAGGAGAGTGCTTTCTGGTGAAAGGAAACTCCTGGGGAGAACGTTGTGTTCCCTACGATGGACAAACCTCTGGTTGAGGCCATGGAAACCTTCACGGGAGATGACTCAACCAGCAGAACATCCCAAGCTGTGTTAGCATACAGCAGAGGATGCACACTGACCTGAGGGCCGCACACCCTCCCAGGGCTGTTTGCTGATGCAAGGGAGTGGGGTGATTTTTCCCCATTAAGAAATGATGCCCCAGTTAGAATAAATCAAACCCTTTCTTGGAATTGTTCTTCTCAACGTGTTCTGTATGTACAACCCTTAAAATACCCTTAAAAACAGCTGCACACGTGCTGTGTGGTTACAAGGAGAAGGGCCGACTGCGCCTCTGTGTGTGTTAAAAACTGCCAGTGCCCCCAGACCCCAGTGTCTGCTCCAGCCCCAGGCTGGCCCCAGGAGGGAGGGAAGAAGGAAGGGAGAAAGGAAGGAAAGAAGGGAGAAAGGAAGAAGCGGTTTGGAAATTGGAGTCTCTCACAAAACACACCACTTACAAATCCTGGGGTGATCCCCTTGAGCAGTTTTGGATCGAATCCTTTCTGAAGTATCTGAGGTCATGCACTGCCATCTCAGCCATGAGATCTGTTGCAACATGCATGTGTCAGCTTCCCACTCAACCCACTGCAACCCTGAGGATCCTTCTGGCCTGGCAGGAAGAGGAGGTGTAGCACAATTCCTGAAGCACGGCTGGGCCTCCGTTTCCAAGCTCCGTGTGGTTCCCTCGGTGGGCCCTGGGCACACACCCACACGTCTGTCGTGTTTTTTGCCTCTAATACACATTTCCCTCCAACCAACATGCAGATTTCTCCTCCCAGTCATCCACGTCTCGATGTCCCACAGAAACAATCCTGGTCATCCATCCAGAGGTTTTCCCAGGTAGACCAAAGTCACTTCCGTGTTACCATACACAGCAGACACTGCTGGGTACAGGCAAACTTTTGGCAGTCCTCTGAAGGCAACTCCCAAGAACTCATAGCCCCTCTCAAACGCTAATGTTTTGTCCTCCATGTCCAGGATCACTCGAATCCTTTCACCTATCTGGAAACAGAGACAGGAGGAGCAGTGAAAACACACAGGAAGGGTCAGTGTGGCCAGATGGAGACACCACAACAAAGCAGAGTGTCACACAGCAGGGATTCTCAGAGCAAGGCTTTCCTGCTTCTCATCAGGATGCTGCTTTTAGGAAGGGGATTTCTGAATGCCACTCCAATGCACCATGAAACTGCTTCCTGAACTCTGCGTGCAGCTGCTGCTCTGGCTGAGAGCTCCTCCTCCTTGAGGAGCAATTTTAAACACAATGGACTTGTTTAAAATTAGGCAAGTGCCACCTACAAAAGCTCCCAGAATAGACCCCTGTGCAGGTGCTGCTGCTGACAGAGGTGTTTCCTCAGTCAGGCAGGAGGAAACTGCAGTGCAAAGTTTGTGTAAAACAACCACAAGAAACCTAAAACGTTGACACACACAGAGGAGTGACACCCATGCTGAGCACAGCAGGAGACAGACCAGGCAGGCATGGAGCTCACTCAGTCCTCCCAGCACACCTGATTTCAGACATCAGTACAAGCACCAGGCACAGCAGGTTCCACACACACTCCTGACTCCTCTCCTGCCAGTCCCAGCACTGGGGGTTCCTCCCAGCCAGTACATTTGTCTCCCATCCAACACCAACACACACACACACACGTTTCCCTCGAGCTTGTTTTCTGTAAGCAGATCACTGCACATGTCTCAATAAAAACCAGATACCAGGATCACTGACTGGAAATTTCACATGGAATTCAGGTATACCAGACAAGAGTTACTATCCAGATCTCCACCCCCAGCTGAAACATAAGCCAATACAAAGCCACAGCACTGGGGGCTGGACTAGATGATCTTTCAAGTCCCTTCCCACCCAAACCATTCCATGGTTCTGTGCTTATGAGGTGCAAATGGCAATGCATTGTTTAAGCTGTAGCACAAACAAATCTAGTGTGGTGTGAGCAGGCAAAAGGACAAGCATACACACTCTGTCAGGACAAAAAGGTGGGATGACACTTGCTCTGTAATAACCTGAACTTGTCTGGGCACCAGATCCCAGCCAAGGGATGTCAGCCTGGGAAGGCTGCCAGACAGCATCCAGCAGCACTCAGCACTGCTGCAAGTCTTTGCAGGGAGACTCTTAGCTAAGCACTCACCTCAGCTCACCCTGACAGACAACAAAGGGGCAAGAGACCTCGGACACTCTCCTCGCTGGGGGCAAGTCGCTACCTCAGAAGGCTACAACAGCCTGCTCAGCCAAACAGCAGCAGTGTCTGAGCAGGCACACAGGACACATCCCTCACACTCAGTGCCTGGAGACTCGAGTGTGGTGCACTGAGCACCAGGCAGGGGTGGCAGTAAACGGAGGGGGAAAGGGCTCACAAGCAAAATCACCGGAGCTGATCCATCCTAGAGAGCCCCAGGCAAGTCCCGAGGAGCAGCAATCCCACAGCCTTTTTTTTTGGGCGCGTTGTTGCACTGGGGGAAGCTGCCGTTCACCTCCCCATTGTGCAGCAGGTTATTGTCCACCAGGTTCCAGCCCCAGCTCTGGTCGTCGCTGCCCAGCAGGGCCACGTAGCCCTGGCACTGCATGGCCGCGCGCTTGGTGGC